CTAAAGTTTTTGGTACAAATTGTAGTGAACAAATTTCTAATTATAAGGCAGAAATTATATTGGAGCCAAACTCACCTCCAGCTTTTTGTAATGCGTATACTATACCTTTCGGTTTAAGAGATGCGGTTGAAAAGGAATTGGATAGATTATGCATAACTGGTATTATTTATAAAGTTAATTATAGTAATTAAGCATCCCCAATAGTAGTTGTGAAAAAGGATAATGATCAAATAAGAATTTGTGTCGATTTAAAACTCTCCACTTCATCGTATGGATGACATTTTGACTGGCTTACCTGGTTGCACACATTTCTGTTTGTTAGATTTGGAAGGTGCATATTTACAGGTAGAAGTCTTAGATAAATGCCAGGAATTTCTCACCATCAATACACATAAAAGCTTGTATAGATTTAAACGTCTGGTTTATGGTTTAAAATCTGCCCCAGCTATATTTCAGTCAATAATGGACCAGATTTTAATAGGTTTACCATTAGTTCGGTGTTATTAAGATGATATTCTTATTGGAGGTAAAGGTTTAGAAGACTGTAAAGGTAATTTGAATGTAGTCCTTTCGAGCTTAAATAAATATAATGTTAGGGTCAACTTAAGAAAATGTAAATTTCTTAATTATAGTCGATAGTTAGAGTCGATGGACAGATGTTCATATAATGAAAAGTACGAGAGCAGCGAAAGTTATTAATACATTAAGGGACGTTTTTTCATATTTTGGATTGCCATCTTCCATAGTTTCCGACAACGGACCACCATTTGGGTCGATTGAATTTATTAATTTTTGCAAAAAGAACAATATTAAGTGTTTAAAGAGTCCTCCATATCACTTGCCAATGAAACAGAAATTGAATAATTTTTTATTAAAGTACAGTAGTATACCCTGCACAGTAATGAATAATAAAACACCATTTAATATGATTTTTACACATACGCCAAGAACATTGACGAACATTGATAGGTTGGAATTTGAATTTAATAATGATATATCTACAAGTAAAGACAAAGCAAAAGTTTGTAAAATCCCAGTTATCCGGAAAAAATATTATGAACAGGGAAAGAAGAATTTAATAGAATACAAAAGAATTTAATAGATGCCAGGAAAAATAATAAAAAGGATTGGAAACGTTATATATTTAGTTGAAACTGATAATTTTAGGTGTTTGTACCATATAAGGCAGATGAGGAAATGTGGTCAGTTTAGGGAAATTAGGTTTTCACCAGCAGGAACAATGTTTAGGAATGTAAATCCGTTTGAGAGCAAGGATAAATTGGCTTCTAGAAGTCCTAGTGTGACTAGTTTAGTAACCAGATCAAAAACAAAAAGATTTCAGGTTATGTTAGATAATAGACCAATTGATATAGATCAAATAGACTAGGATTAAATTTTGTATAGGTACAATATTATGATTGTCTCTTATATTCGTATTATTATTATATAAACTAATTAAGTTTAATTAAAATTATTACCTGCATAGAATGTGAATTTTTTTTATTTAATGGATCCACATATGTTAGAAAAAGAAAAAATCGGTATAGAATTAGATATGTATTAACAATAATGTACTTAATTATTTTTTTTATTAAATTGATATTTAACTTATAATATTTATGTGTCAATATGGTTAGCTAGCGAATATAGTAAAGAAATTATAATATTTCTGATTTTTACCGACCGTATTGTGTAAACAATAGGTAGGTTATGTGATGGCAACAAATTTTGCATATCGAGTTTTCGGTGGGAACGTACTTCTCCATAGTAGGGAAGTGTAAATAAACTATTTTTAGCAACCTGTCGGTCTGTCGGTCTGTCGGTCTGTCGGTCTGTCGGTCTGTCGGTCTGTCGGTCTGTCCGTCTGTCGGTCTGTGTGTGGACGCGTGTATCTCAAGTTCGGCTGAACCGATTTTGATGAAATTTTATATGTAAGTTTATTTCCACCATGGCACGGATCGATCAACTTTTGGTATATATCAGGCCTCGGGAACTGCACTTTTTAGCGAGCCTGTTTTACATTTTTGAGCATATTGAAGAACATATTCAACCGATTTACTTGAAATTTCATATATAAGTTTTGCTCTACCGGCGATGAAACCTCCTAACTTTTGGAAGAAATCAGGCGTCAGCAACTGGACGTTTACTACGGGCCAAATATACATTTTTGTGTATATAAAGAGAAATAATCAACCGATTTCATTGAAATTTAATATATAAATTCCTCGTATGAAAACTATGAACATATAAATTTTTTGGAAAGATCAGGGCTCGAAAACTGATCTGCGGGCCGATTTTACATTTTTCACCATATCTACGGAACGAATTGATGGAGTTTCTTCAAATTTGATATTTGAGTTCTGGTTGTTATCGAAACTAACTGGTGAGCATTTCAGGGAATTCGGGTAGCACAAAGCGAAACTCTACTAAGAGCCAAATTTACATTTTTCTAAGTATGTTAACTATAAGCTTACTAATGTCCTAAAAATTGGAAAGAAGTATTTAACAGACATTTTTATAATATTCTGTAACACTTTCACTTAACTAGACAATACACATTGCGGTCGGTTATGTGCTGACCACATCAGATTTTTTTTATTATGTACTTACTGAAAATATTAAGATTATTTTTATAAGGGAGAGGAGAAAATGAAAATAAAATATATTTGAAATATACCTGCCTAATACATATTGAAATAAATTATAAAATAAAATATAAATAAAAAGAATTGTAAATAGAAAGAGTACATCATATTCATGAATTATAGTTTCAAATTAGAATGAAATATGATTGAAATTTCTAGATTATAAGTATGTATAAAAGATTAAAAATATTCTATTATATTTTATATTTTATTTTGAAAGTATATCAAAGAAAAATGAAAATTGTTTTGAAATTAATATATTTAAGATTTGGTTTAATTTTTATTTATATACGAGTTTTTTAATAAAGTTGAGAGGAGTGTTGTATATTTTATATCACATTATTGGCTATTGGCTTGTTGTAAAATGAATTGTTAAAAACATGCCATTGCATACTATGATACATTGTGTATAGAGTAATAAAGTTAGTCTAAGTAATACCACCGAACAGGTACCTCTTTTATTTATTACAGTAAAGTCAATACCCTTTTAGAAAACCAAAATTCAACTGCCACCATAAAACATGGACGCGGAAACGTTATAGTTTGGGGGGCATTTAGAGCAAATGGTGTGGGAGAGCTAGTGTTCGTGGAGTCAGCTATGGACAGGATGGGATATTTGAATATATTGAACAAAATTTGGTAAAAAGCGCTAGAAAAATCGGGATTGCTGGTGAATTTGTGCTTGTTCATGATAATGATCCAAAGCATTCGTCATATGTTGTTAGAAACTGGCTTCTTTACAATGTGAAACGGGTTTTGCCACATCCTCCGCAATCCCCCGACCACAATCCAATTAAACATATTTGGGATATGTGGGATAAACGATTACGGCAACATCCAATTGCTGGTATTACAAGCCTAAAGTGCAAAATAACCGAAGAATTGAAGAAAATTTCATCTGAAGATACAAAAAAGCTGGCGTTACTATTAAAATTATTTTCATTCATATACAAAACTATTTTTAGGATTGCATATATTTAGGATGATGCATACATGTCTTTGAAATAAAGCAAAAATTAATATAAAGAGGGGTTAGCATAATGCTCGATTTTAAGGTTTAATTGTGTGAGTTAAGAAAAATAATTATATTTTTTAATGTCATGGAATTTACCGTTAGCTTTTTGCGCTTATAGAAATTTTAAAAATCTTGCGGTTTCGGAAATATAAGGTGTCAAAAATTCAAATTTTACAAATTTCAAGAGTTGATTTGAGAGGGGGTGGAGATCGAAAAAAATGTTCTTCTAACGAAATGAATTACTGGTTAATATCTAAAAGCCCCTAAAATTTCTTTCAAGCATCTACAGGCTGGGGTCTAGAAGAAAAACGACATCAAAAATTTGGAAAAAAAAGACATTAGATAACGGTAAATTTGAACGGCCATTTTGTTTATCTAAAGTTTAACTATAGTATACCGCGCTAGGGGAAGTAAGCCGCTGCCTTTCTGCGTTTGCAAAATTTCAAAAATGCTTATTTTTGTTTCATTGCAACAAATAGTTAAAAAAGGCCATTTTTAGGGTTTTGGAGGGGTATAACTTCTAGAGGCGGGGAGATAGATAAAAATTTTATGTTAAAATTTTATTTTAGATTGCAACAAATAGTTAAAAAAAGCCATTTTTAGGATTTTGGAGGGGTATAATTTCTGGAGAGGGGGAGATAGCTAAAAATTTTGTTCTTCAGAAATAAGTTTCTGGTAAAGATCTATGTACGTATTAAATTTCAGCTTTTTATCTTCAAGAATGTACGGACGGACGGACTGACGAACGGACGGACGGGCGGACGGACAGAGTAAAACTAATAAGCACTTTTTTCAAAAATTTTTTGGAAAAGTGCTAAAAAGTAAAGGAAATTTTTACATCCTTACTATTAATTTTATTTTACTTTCATAATATTTACAATGTACATACATAATATGTGCAATTTTTTGGTGTATGTACAATTTTTTGACTATGTTTTTATCAAAAATTTAAAAATGTTACAATTTTTTCAAATTTACTTTTAAATAATTATTAAGTTTTCTTATTTATTTTCTGAAATTGAAGTAAAAAAATTCTTTTTTTGTTAAAATAAAATCAATTTTTCTAAAAAAATTTTGCTGTATGTACAATTTTTTGATGTACGAGTAGTGTCTGTACGAGTTGACATGTTGTCTTCAGCATTTTTTATGTTGTGAAAATGTTGTTTAATTTCACCATATGTTGTTTGAAAAGGTTTATCAAATAAATTTAAATGCAATAAAATTTTCAATTTTAGGTATGGGTAAAAATAAATTTGTTTGATGTTGCCAGAATGGGTGTTTTAGGAAGTTCAAACTCTGTTGTTTCCAATTTGTATTGATAAACCGCTATCTTTCAAAGTTCAATCACCATTAAATGTCAAAATTCCATTATTGAATAATTTGACTTCATAATTCTCATCGTGCCATACAATATTATACAAGTATGCTCTATCAAGTAAGTGAAGCCATTTAGATTCGGCACCCACTTTGGTGTTATTAATCTTCACAGGAAGTGTAATTAATTTAAAGATGTCGAAATCTGTTTTTGATAAAACCGGTATTAAAAGAAAGTTCTTAGTTTTTTATTAATTTTACATTGAGTCTGTACAATTTCGATATTATTGAGAGTTTTATATCTGATGGAATATTTTCCTTGATTCGATTCAAGTGCTCGATGATTTGTGTCGAATATAATATCAACGAATTTGCTTTTCCGTGATGTGTATCCATCATGACGTTTTTTATTGTTGGGTGCATTTCTTTAAAATCTTGGAGCGTTAATGAAAAATACTGGGTAAACATTAACAACTTTTGAGTTAAATGTTGTCCTTGTGCTTCATCTTATACTTTATCAAGTTTAAGTATAAAGTCATTTAGTTCAAGCTTAATATTTCTGAAATTAGCTAAGTATATATTGTTCAGAATCACTTTTAGTAACTGATTGGTAGCCTCGATGACTGCCGTTTGGTTTTTCATTAAGTTAAGTAAATATTGCTCATTTCGTTGGACGTTTTTAAATTTTTTTCCATATTCTTCGCATAGTTATCAACCAATATACCAAACAGTACATTTGTTCAAGTACCAACTGTATTAATCAGTCCTTTGTTAGGTAATTCAGAGATAACCACTGTTCAGAGATAACCACAATTCTAATGAACTATGCATATTTTAAAATTAAAATTAAAATAAAATTAAAAACTAAAATTATTACTATTATTATTATTATTATTATTATTATTATTATTATAATTATTATTATTATTATGTTATTATTATTATAATTATTATTATTATTATTATTGTTTTTGTTATTATTGTTATCATTATTATTATTATTTTTAATATTATTATTATTAATGTTATTATGATTATTACTGTTATTATTATTATTATAATTATTATTATTATTATTTTCATTATTATTATTATTATTATTATTATTATAATTTCAATTATAATAATGGTAATTATAATTATTATTATTATTATTATTTTCATTATTATTATTGTTATTATTATTATTATTATTATTATCATTAATATTATAATTATTATTATTATTATTATTATTTTCACTTTTGTAATTTTTATTGTTATTATTTTTATTTTTAATATTATTATTTCAATTATTATTATTATTATTATTATTATTATTATTATTATTATTATTATTATTATTATTATTATTATTATTATTATTATTATTATTATTACTATTATTATTATTTTCATTATTATTATTATTTTAATCACTTTCATTGTTATTATAATTTTTGTAATTGTTGTTATTTTTATTATCATTACAATTATAATTATTATAAATATTATTATTATAATTATTATTATTATTATTTTCATTATTATTATTATTAATATTATTATTATTATTATTAATATTATTGTTATTATTATTATTATTATTATTATTATTATTTTTTTTATTTTATTCAAACTTAATGCCTAAAGAAGTACAAAATCTCAATATAAGGCTAAATTATTCAATAACAATTTTTCAAGAGCAAATATTAAAGAAAGTAAAAAAAACAAGTGCAATTTAAAGAGAAAGTAAAAAAAAGAGAAAACGAAAAATAAAATTCAAACAATAATAAATTCAGTATGTTATTTTGATATTTAAATTAAGAGAAAAATGAGATAAAACTAAAATTTAACGTTACTTTGTAATGATGATAATAATGTAAGAGAAAAAAAGAACAAAGTTAAACACACTAAAATTAATAATTACAGTAAACTCTTTTTGAATTTAACTAAGATTTATATTTGAATGCATCGCGTATTTATTTATATATATCTTTTTTAAGGCCTCCTTCAGTTTTGGTTTCGTCATGGATTTCAAACTATGATCTAAATTATTATATAGTTTGATTGCTTGGTATAATGATGTATGAGTCCCATATCTACAGGTATTCTTTTTATCAAAATGTAATAGATTTTGACTTCTTGTATTAACTCGATGATGATCTTTTCTTTTGGATATGATTGTGCTTGTGTGAATATTATCAGCATTTATTTAATAATATAAAGCATTAATTTGATATTGACTAAATCACGAATTAACAGTAAATCATTACTTCGATGGATATATTTAGTATTTTCACGCTAGTTTAAGCTATAAAGATTTCTTATGGCTCTATTTTGAATAATTTGTATCTCATCGTTAGTTGTTTTAGGTGCCGTACCCCACAGCTTGGTTCCGTAACTAACATGACTATGAAATAGTGCGTAATACTTTGATTTTTTTATTCTATTTGGAAGAAACGAAATTATTTTGTAAAAGATTCCAGCAACTGAAGACAACTTTTTACTGAGATAGTCAATGTGAGATAAAGATATTTAAAATTATCAACTTGTTGTAAACTTTCATTTGCAATCTTTATATTCAGTTTAGGGGCCGTTGCAGCAACAATTAAATATTTAGTTTTGTTTCGATTCACTGTCAATTTTTGAGTTTTCATCCATTCAAGGTAAATGACCTTATCTAGTTCTCGATTCATTCTATTTTGTAGATCTTTGTAACTATCGGCTTGAAATACCAAACAAATATCATCTGCATAAAGATATATATCAGCTTCAATTCCGATTTTGTTTATACTATCCATATAGACTATAAACAGCAGAGGACCCAAAATGCTGCCTTGAGGTACACCATATGTAACCAATTGATTTTCGCTTTTATTGGCTCCAATATGTGTGAATTGTTTCCGATTTTGTAGATAAGATGAAAACCATTTGTTAGCAAACCCTTTAATTCCATAACTACGTAATTTCATCAGCAGTATTTTATGATCAACTGTGTCGAAGGCCTTTGACAGATCCATAAATAATAAAAGTATTGAACACGATTGATCATATCACCTACAGAAGTTTCGGTGTTGGATTTGATTCTGTAACCATATTGCATTTTTGAAAGAATCTTGTTATTTTCGAGAAATCGAGAAACCTGTGTGTATACAACTTTTTCTATAATTTTAGATGGGCCAGGAGCAATACAAATTGGTCTATAATTATTATAATCACTCTTATCACCAGATTTGAAAATTGGAACAATTCTTCCCAGTTTTAAGGCTTCAGGAAAAACACCCTCAGCCAGCGATTCATTAATTATCAAAGCAATTGAATCACATAAATACTCATTACATATTTTAATCAGATTATTCGATAAATTAAGTGAATCTGTTGTTTTTGAGCTTTTTAGCTGTTTAATAATCTTATTTATTTCATTTTTATCAGAAAACTCAAATTCAAACGACAAGTCAGTATAAGATTGAGGGTAAAAAATTTTACTTTCAAAATTTTTTGTCATTGATTCACCAATTCCAGCAAAATGTTTATTTAAATTATTAATTTCTATTTCAGCATTCTGCTCTGACAATCCTTTTAGTAAATCAACACCACTTTTATTACTGACTCTGTTATATAACATATTTTTTATGCATTGCCATATTTTCGAGGAATCTGTAGAATGTTCTGCAAACTTTTTTTCAAAATATTTTTGTTTTTTATATCTACGCATGCTTGTAACCTTATTGCGATAATATTTATATTGATTTTCTAAGAATGTATTGGAACTATCACGTGACCATTTTGAAAACGAACCATTTTTAATCTTCACTGCCTCAATAAGTTCTTTATCGATCCAGTGCTGGTTATGCTTGCGTTTTATATTTGATAATTTGTACGATTCCATGTCCTTTCATTAAATTTTTCAAGCCAATCACTGACGGTGTCTTGAAATCACCAGTGATATAAGTGTTATTTTTACAATTGATATTTACTATGCAGTTTTGAAATTCATCTAGAAAATTTGTTTGATACAATGTTTGGTGCTCGATAAACATTGATAATATTAGATTATTAATGATTAAATGTTAAAATGTCTATTGTTTATAGTTATTTTAACGCTTGAGAAACTATCAGAGTTGTCGCTGAAAGAATATATTTTCGTGTAACTTAAGTTTTTATTTATAAAAATGCCACAACTCCCACCACTCTTATCTGGCCAGCAAGAATATTCAGCATTATAGTTAAACCCAGGTTTCAGTGATACAAACAACATCAACTTGGTAATCAAAAGACTTCAATAATATATTAAAATCATCTATTTTATTTTTTAAACTTCGAGCATTCAAGTATAAAATTTTTAAGGAATCTAAGCTTAACAAAATTTCATTAAGTGTGTCATAAAATAGATTTTTTGGGTTAATGAGAAATTGGTTATGTTGATTATTTTGATAGTTCATTTTAAATATAAATATTTTTTATTAACCTAAGTGAATTCAATTTTTTTGTCTTTTCTCATGTCTCTTGCTTTTTTGAATAAAAAGCTATAATAATTTGATAAATATTCATTTATATATATTGGAGATTTGTTATTATCATTGAATATTTTACCAGAATGAAGGAAAGCTTTATTTTTAACCAGTTCTTTATATTTTGAAAGTAAATTTACTTTTGAAGTGTTTTGCATAAATTCAATAATTATTGGGGCTGATTGCAAAGTGTCATTTGCTCGTTCATTTTTTTTGCGATATATTTCTTTTATAATATTCGTTGAACAATCAATATCTAAATTGTTTAACAATTTTGTTGCAATTGAGGTTAGGTTTTCATTTTCATTTTTTGGTACACCATAGACTTTTATACTATTTTTTAATTATGCTTTAAAAAATAGTATAAAAGTCCAAATGTTTTAAAATTTAAATCCAAATGTTTTAATTTAGATTTAAGTTCATCGTATTATTATTATTATTATTATTATTATTATTATTATTATTATTATTATTTTTAATATTATTATTATTTTGATTATTATTATTATTATTATTATTAATATTGTTATTATTTTGATTATTATTATTATTATTATTATTATTATTATTACTTTAATTATTGTTATTATTATTAATGTTATTATTATTATGATCGTTATTATTATTATTACTATTTTTATTATTGTTATTATTTTTATTATTATTATTATTTTTGTGATTAATATTATTATTACTATTATTAATATTATTATTATTATTAGAATTATTACATTTATTATTATTGTTATTATCATTATTATTATTATTATTATTATTATTATTATGATTATTTTTGTTATTATTATTAGTTTATTATTGTTATTATTTTTATTGTTATTAGTTTTATTTTTGTGATTATTATTGTCATTACTATTAGTATAATTATTATTGTTATTATTGCTTTTATTATTATTATTTTTATATAATTGTTGTTATTATTTTCGTTATTATTGTTGTTATTATCATGGTTATTTTCATTATTATTATTATTCTTTTTTATTATTATGATTATTATCATTATGGTTATTATTTTTATAATTATTATTATAGTTATTACGGATCTATCTAGAAAGAAATCGGGGGTCATGCGATCACCCCCATTGGTGACGAGGATGAACTGGCTAGAGAAACTGACTGGATCCTACAACAGAATAATGCAAAAAAGCGAAAAATGTAAATGTCTCCTGAAATAACTTCAGAGAGGACAGGTAACAAAAATAATTAAAACAGCCCTAAAATGAAGGCTGAAAATCGAAAAAAGCACAAGTTTCCTCCAGTTATATTGAGCAATATTAAAAACTACTCCCACATAGTTAAGATATTAAAAGAAGAAAGAATAAACGTTAGGGTCAATATGATGAATAATTAAATACCAGTTAAAAATAAATGTGAAAAATGAAAATGAATACAGATTACTAACAAAAGCTATAAATTAGGCCAGACTTGAGTGGCACTCGTAAGAGAATAAACTGTCGAGGCCAGTTAAAGTTATGGCTAGAAATCTCCATCCATCGTGTGAGCCAGAGGATATAAAAAAAGGGCTTATTAGCAAAGGCTTTAAATGTCTAGATGTTGTAAATAAAATTAGAAGTTAAAAAGAAAATGGAAAATACATTTCAGTAAAACTTCTTCATTTCAGAAGAGATAAGCAAGATATATAAAATAGAATACTTATACCACATGAGAGTAAAAATTGAAGCTCTTAGAAGCACCAAATCTATTCCGGAATACAAGACACGCCACAGATTTGGACACACACAAAAGTTTTGCCAAAGAGAGGCTAGATGTGTAAAATGTGCTGGTAATCATATGACAGCAGAGTGCAACAAGGATAATTTTCAGCCCAAATGTGCGAACTGCTGTTACTGTTTAACTGAAGGTTGTGCTAAAGGGAGTATGGTATTCACAAGCGCTTTAAAGCAAAACCCCACAAAACAGGAAAATGAAGGAACCTGGGACAAAACCCCACAAATTAAAAGAAATGACGCAGACATTATGCAAATGATGCATAGTATGTTGATTAGAATTGACGAGATCTCTAATAGTTTATTAAAAGCAGAAAATGCGTAGACTGAGGTGTATACGGGGACACCAAAGAAATTAAGAAAAAATGTACGTAAATGAGGTACGTATAGTAACTTGGAATGCTAATGGTGTTCTTAATAAGAAACAAGAATTGGAGGTCTTTCTCAAAACGAGAAATATAGATATTTGTTTGCTGTCGGAAGCTCATTTGACATATTATACAGGCCTTAAAATAAAAGGCTATGATTGCTATAAAGCGGTACATTCCAGCAATTAGCCAGGAGGAGGTAGTGCAATATTAATAAAAGAAAGTGTAGAACATATCGAAGAATTCAAGATAGAAACTGCTGAAATTCAGCTTATTTTGATTTTGCTATTTTTTGATATTTGGTGCTGGATACTGTCTACCAAATTGCAGCATAAAGAAAAATATTTTTAAAGATTTCCTGTACAAGCATGGACACAGATATCTAATAGGAGGTGACTATAATGCCAAACATACAGATTGGGATTCTAGAATCACCTCAACTAAAGGAAGAGAGCAAAGAAAAGCTACTCAAGACCTAGGTTGTTGTTATCACTCCACTGGCACTCCTACTTATTGGCCTACCGACACTAACAAGATTCCTGATGTTATTGAGTTTTTTATAACCAAAAAAATATCAGAAAACTTTCTAAGCCTTGAAGATAACTATGATTTTAATTCGGATCACTCTGCTGTCATATTAAAATTAAGTGAAAAAATAACTAAAACATTATTTAGGCCTAGTTTAACAAATAGCACTACAGATTGGGCGAGCTTTAAATACGAAATAATAAACAATATTGACGTAAGTATTAATATACAATCAAGAGAACAATTAGATGTGGAGTTAGAAGGATTTATTAAAATCATACAAAAAGCTGCATTGAACAATACAAAAATGTCAAAGTACAAACCGACAGCAAATAGCTATCCTGGAGAAATAACTGATTTAGTAGGTGAAAAGAGAAGGGCCAGACGTAGATGGCAACGTGCGCGTCACCCTGATGATAAGACTGTTTTAAACAGACTTACTCAGGTGCTTAAAATAAAAGCCCAAGAGTTTAAATCGGCAACGTACGAAAATTATATTGTCAACTTTAAAACTTTAAAACTTGTCAGGTACGAAGGAAACGAATTATTCCTTATGGAAGGCGGCAAAGAGCAAAAAGACACCGATTAGGCACGCTCTGCCACTGATGAAAGCAAATGGCAGTTGAGCGAGGAACAATATAGAAAAGGCCGAATTGCTTGCTGAACACTTGGAAAGCATATTCACGCCAAACGGAATAACCTCAGACGTATGGTTGGTGGAATCTATCGCAAATGAAGCAGACAGCTCAATTAGAAATTGACCACTTACTCAATTAGAAATTGCGGAAGAGATAAGATCCCTGAAGTTGAAAAAATTGCCAGGTTTTGATCTTATTACTGCGGAAGTGCTGAGAGAGCTAGCAGACGAGGTACTGGAATATCTGACGAAAATCATGAATACAGCTATGGATTTTGGATATGTTCCTTGGGCTTGGAAAGTCGCGGAGGTAATTATGGTTCCCAAACCAGGGAAATCCTTGAGGGAAACAAAGTCTTACAGGTCCATGTCAATGTTACCAATGATGTCTAAACTTTTTGAAAAGCTGTTATTAAGGAGATTGGAGCCAATAATAGAAAATAGGGAAAGCTTAGAAAATAAGGAAATGTGCTCTTCTATGTTTCTAGACGTAGCACACACATTCGACAAGGTATGACAAAAAGGCCTTATACTTAACATCGTCATTTGTACAAATTTTGAAATCTTACTTAGCTGATAGATTATTTAGAATTAAACAAGATGCTGAATATTCCACGCTAAGAGAAATAAGGGCAGGTGTGCCTCAAGGCAATATATTGGGCCCAACGTTGTACCTGCTATACACGAGTGATTTGCCACAGAGAGAAAATGCTACGGTAGCCACTTTTGCTGACGATACTGCAATATTGGCAGTAGGAGCGAATATTGACGATTCGACAAAAAAGGTACAGGCAGCAATTAATAAAATTAGCCAGTGGACAAGAGATTGGAAGGTAAAGTTGAATGAAGCAAAATTGATTCACATAAACTTCACCAATCGGAAAATACTCAGCAAAATACCTAGGAATGACTTTAGATGTCTAGCTAAGGTGGAAAGAGCATATAAAGGATAAACACATAGAATTAGAAAATAAATATAGAGAAAATTATTGGCTCCTAAGCCATAAGTCCAAAATGGCAACTGATAATGAGGTATTAATTTATAATCAAATCATTAAGCCAATATGGCGATATGGCATTCAACTATGGGGTTGTGTTAA